CATCTGCGGCCACGGCGCATGCGCGTGTGGTGCGCGTCAGCGCGTGGGCGGGCTCGGTTCGTGTTCCTGACAGGGACGCCTTTGTCTTGTTGCGGCCAGCCCGGCGTGGGGCTGCGCTGCTGCGCCAAGGGATGGGATCATGGAGAGGCTTGACCGCTTGGGGTGACGCGTGCGGTCCACGGGGGACAAGGTGGTCTTCGCGCCGTGACGTGGCGTAGTACAAGGCCAGGCACGGCCATGGAAGTTGCCGTTGGTGCATCGCCCTTGATTCGACTATACCACCTCCGTCCGGGAAGACAAAGCTCTAAAATTTGTACCTAGTCAATTTTTTCTTAAGTTCCATGAAAATTATATAAAAAAAGTTTATTTACGAAAAATATGTATACCATAAAAGTATAGGTCCTGATGAGTCTAATAACACTTCTTTTTAATATCATAAGATATTCACATCTTTTATAAATAAATTTATTCAAAATCAAAATGGTTTCGCTCGCTACTAACTTTGTTCATGGTTTGGGCAAACTCGGTAACTAACCCAGACCTAGCAGCCCAAATTAAATTGTATTCGAGGAGATGAGACACCTTGGGTTAATTGGTTTTGACATCAAACTGTACAAAACATACATATTCAAATTAAAATTAAAATACGAGTATATGAAACTAGTAGCGGGTTGAGACCAAGGTAATCAAACACATGGCTAATACTGGTGGTGCCAGATTGATGGTCTCTTGATCATCTTAGATGATGATCAGCGGCTTGTTCGCTTGGTCGTAAACGATCGTAAATTTCCAGCCAGAACAGTATTTTTCTCTCACACCAAACCAGCCAGCAGTAATAATCCACGATCGTATACGATCGTTTCAGCCCCAGCCGAACAGGCTGCAAGTTGATGCTCCATCAATATGCTAGATGTGTAAACAGAAGTTTCCAAGCGTTGGATTATGTGACATTTCCAAAGTTTGGGTCTGTTGTTGTGGGTGGTTGGAGGGCGACGCTCCTACCGTGGTCATTGACGTGTTGAATTTTGACATATCAGAATTAGGCAATCGTCAACGACATGGATTGAAGGTGAAGAATGTCATTAGTGGGCGCTGGATTAGTTACTCTTGGGTAACTTATTGTCTAGAGATTAATTTAGATATAAGCAGGGATGTAATGGCTCTCTCGATTTAATAGAATCCTTCCCCTTGTCACAAAAAGAATCCAACAGGCACTAGGAAACATTCAATTGGTTTCCTTATGATACAATGGAATAATGCATCTCCAAATTAAAATTCCTACAGGACCAACAGAAACATTGGACACATTTGTGTTTTCTAACATATCCCGCTATCTGTCTCTCAAATCCTACCACCACTCCGTACTCATATATAAGTGAGACATGGTCTCCAAAACTAAACTCTGACTAGCTTTTACCTCTGTTGTAATAAATTTATGGCTCAAAGCAACAAACATAGTTTTCAAGGCGGTAAGGCGAGGTGCGGCGCTCCACCCCCTTCCAAACGCCTAGGCGAATTAGGCACGCGGCAAGACGACGCCATACACATACACTAACATTCCATAGGACAGCACAAACACACACTTATACATACCTTCCTGCTACCAATTCTGGAGCCAATTCTAGAGCAAGCAACAAGAAGTAGAGCAGAGGCTCAGAGTAGAATAGAGCAGAGGCGCATCTAAGCACATGAAGCAGAGGAGAGTAGAACAGAGCAAGCAGAGGAGAGTAGAACACAGCAGAGGTGCAGAAGAGTAGGAAGGGACATCGAAAGAGGAAGAGGACGGGGAGGCAAAAATCAGGGACGGCTCCTCACACCTGTGTGACGTGGGCTTGCAGGCCAGCGGACGGGGAGGCACGAATTAGGGAGGAGTCGTCGAAGAAGAGGGGGGATTCGTAGATTGATGGAAGGAGGCAACGCGCTGCCGGCAGGGAGTCTAGGTTCGCGCAGCCTCTTTCCTTTCCCCCGCGCGGACGGATATACTCCGCTTCGGGCGCATCTTTAGCCTGCGCGCACAACTCTCCTGCCCCCCCGCGCGCCTCTCCCCCCCCACGCCTCTTTCTCTCCGTTTCCCGCCCCCCGCGCGCGCATCTGCTCTTGCGCGGCGTCCTCCTGGACGCCCAATCGCGCCTAGGCGACGCCTTCCGACGCAAGGCGACGACATACGACCGAAGGTCGTGGCGAGCCCGACGCCTAGCTTCAAAAATTGCCCGGACGCCAAGTCGTCGCCTAGGCGACGCCTTAATAACTATGGCAACAAAAATATTATTTATTATGAACCCTATTTTGAATAAAAAATTCAAATATCTGAACTCAATACACAAAAGGTATATTGTAATCAAAGTTTGATTTTTTATTAAAGGGGATATATATCATTGAAATGGGAACCCTAAAATGTTCCATTATAATAGGTTCCCTGTGATGGAATAAGGTTTAAGTTCACAAATTAAAGTGGATGCTCATGTTTTCTAAAAGTTAACATTACCCATCCTTGTACCACACAGCTCGATTTCTAGAAGGACGAGTTAAGTTTGTAAAAACGACTGCAACGGTCGGTGATAGCTCGATACTAGATCGAGCGAGTTACTGAGGATAGATAAGTGGATAATATCCATATAAGTGTCCTATAAACGCAAACACCTAAATTAAAGTGTCCGATTTTTTTTTCTGAATATAATAATTTCTAGAGACGTAACATCACTAACCCACAAATATATATATAGAATCATATGTTGATTACTAATGATCTAATAAAGTTAGTAGAAATGAACTTTGAATCTTTGACAAGACCGAGGTAATGGCCAATTGGCCATATGGTGGGGCACCCTGCAGTTGGTGCTTATCGATCAGACGGGCCCTGGACACAACACAATACATTAGCGTTGGACAGACTCAGGAGTAGAGTAATTTGACCGTCTGTAGCCCTGGAACGGTTGTCTACAACTACAATAAAGCAAGACGTCAGGCGGGGGACATCCGGACATGAAGGCAAAGAGCCGACGACGTACGGAAGTGATGTGTTCGGCTGGTATTAAATCGACTTCTGCTGATTTGCATGACTGATTTGTTGTGTGAAAGAAAAATACTGTTCCACCGCTGATTTGTGAGGATTAAACCCAGGTGAATAACACAAACGAACATGCCCTCGGCGATGGAATATCCCGTTAGCAGAGAAGCTATAAAAAAAAAAGCAGGTGGAGTGGTTCGTACATGGACTCCGCCGATGGATGTCGATCCATTGGAGTCGACCTGCTATCCGCGGAGGTACAGTACAGGTACAGGTCGACTACTCTACGTCGCTGCCGAGCTGGCGGCCTGTTGGCGCCGATCGGCCGTCGTCTTCATGAGCCCGCGCGCCGCCCTCCGCCCGGCCGTCCCGCATGCGATGCGATTGCGCGTGCTCTTGTCTGTGCCGCCTTGTCTCATTGCAACATGGGGACCATGCGACCGCCGCTGCCTTTTCCATGCATGTCGGTACGCGCCTAGTACAGGCTAGAGGCTACAGTATGCGCTGCCGGCGTGGTCTGACGGCTCGAGGCTTCCCCAACGCTCCAAGTTGACGCGCTGCCTCGATGGCCACGTCATCACTGCATGTCAAGATCATAGGGACCGGTGGTCTCGCAGGCCTTCAGAACAGCCCGCAGAACCGTAGCCTTCCTCTGACAAAAGTTTAAAGCAGTAGTTGAAGTTCACGTTGGGAGAGAAGGGAGACACCAATGTTTGACTTGAGATCACATCATGCGTTTAGATCCAAAAAATTTTGGATTTTGGGTCACTGTAGCATTTCGTTTGTATTTGGTAATTAGTGTCTAATTATGGACTAATTAGGTTTAAAAGTTTCGTCTCGCGATTTCTCGACCAACTGTGTAATTAGTTTTTTTTTTCGTCTACATTTAGTGCTCCATGCATGTGCCGCAAGATTCGATGTGACAGTTACTGTGCAAAATTTTTTGGCAACTGAACGGGGCCTAAACTGCACTCGCATGCATACCCGCGTTGCTGAAATCGATGGCTCAAACTCTCCCTCGTCTACGTGTACAATGCTTTTTGGTACACGCTAGCAACGGTGTCAGCCTGCGTTGCTGGTGCCCATAGCCACACAATAAAGGTCGTGTGTCGCATCCTCCGAGCGCAGAAAAACACCTGACGAATTCCATGTGGAACGAAAAATAAATGAAAGCATCGATATCTATGACATGTCCAGAGTCTCTACGAGGAACGTCTAAGTGTACCCTCAATATTATACTAAGCTCTAGTTACTAGCTCTAAGCTAAGGTAACTTCTTCGATAATACAACTTTTATCACATAACTCATATTATGAATAGCCATATATAACATTCTCATATATGATGTTAAAATGTGCATGTGACTAAGGCCATGTTCGCTTCTCTTATAATCCATACTTTTAAGTTTATTTTTTTTCAGTCGGAACAGTATTTTTTTCTCACAACAAATCAGCCGGAACAGTGTTTCGGCTTGCTTTTTCAGCGAAGCGAACGGGGCCTAACTCTTAACTATGAGATATATTTTCTCTCTTCTATTAAAATGTGAAATAATATGCTTAGAGTTAGCTCATAAGACACCATCAGAGCCGCCCCGAAGAGATCAATAGGCGAGGGGCATGTTTTAAGCCCTACCTTCCTTGATGCGGCAAATCTCCCATAACTAAAAAAAAAACTAAAGAGTGGACACTTTTTTGATGCGACATTCTAACGTACATCCATGTTTCTGCCGGCTGCGATCCCGCACCCCCTCGCTTCCCCTTGCATCGCTCGTGCAATTTGCCCCTATGGCACCCCTCACTCCTTCCTCCTCCTTTTTTGCGACAAATTAAAAAGGAAGGAAAGTCGATCCCGCACCCCTCCCTCGCTCCTTCCCCTTCATTTGCGATAAAATTCAGCTGCGCGCGCCGCCGCCGCCCTCTGCGCCCGCGCCTGCCCACCGATCCTGCGATCCATCTCCCAATCACGCTCCATCCTCTCCCACAATCCCGCTTCAATCACGCTCCATCACACGCATGCCCACAAAGCCGCCTCATTTCCCACGCTGCCTTCCACTCGCTGATGCTGACGCCGACGCTCGCCCATGCCTCTCTCCCTGCCACGAAGCCGCTCGTCGCACTCACGCCGTCGAGCTCACCGCTCGCGCCAGCGCCGTCGTCCTCGCCCGCGCTCGTCAATCCTTGATTCGCGTCCGACGGATCGGCGAGAAGACCGTTCTGCCGCCTCGCCGAGAAGGAGGACCCGCGCTGTCGGTCTCGCTCCGCCCCAATCCGCGTCCGCGCCCCGCCCCGATCTGCCGATGTCGACGACTCCTTTCCCTCCCCGCTGCGAAGCAGCGCCTGCTGTCGGCAGACGCCTTGACGCCGCCGCGCCGCCATCTCGACGCCACCGGACGCGCCGCTGCCTCCACGATTTGCCCTGCCGTTGAGGCGGCTGGACGTGCCGCCGCCGGACACGCCACCCCCTCCCCGACGCTGAAAACACAGGTGGTCCTCGCCATCGAGCGGCCCGCTGTCCTCGCCGTCGTGCGCCGTGGCCAACGTCGCACGTCTCTTGTGTCTGCCTTGACAAAAGGTGTGCGCATTACAGAAGGATGCATCGTCATGGCGCCCTGCTGCCGCCAATGCCACAACGATGCCAAGGTGCGTAGTCTTTGTTTGGTTCATCTCCCCCTATCGCTCTCTATTTTACATCTAACTGAACAAGATCTGACTGCTGCATAATTGATAACCTGGACCTGGAATTGGATATGGTTAGTGTCGTGTTTGCTATCTAGATCAAGTGATGTGCCCCAACATGTGCACCTGGACATAGTAGCAGACTAGCAATGAATTTGAGATGTCAATCGGCTAAAGCAATCACATTTTATTCTTTTCTTTTGAGAGTACAGTATCTATATGCTTGATTCTTCTTCGTATTGGCATATAATGGCTACCTAAATATTCCTACCTTTTCTAGATAACTAAGAATTTTCTAGAAAATATGGATGAGTTGCTATGTTGATATGTTAGAGAAATATTGGAGTATATGTTTTTTTTGGGGCAGTATGCGTGTATGCCTGATTTTAACATGTAGTCTAACACTGTGATTCCTAATCTAACACTGTTCTGTTCCAGGTCTCAAATGACCAATACCATTGTGATGGATGTGCCATATGCAGGTAACTACCATACTGACAGGCAGTCTTCCATTTACCGCTCAAAAACTTTTGCTAATTGTTCAGAACTGGTGGTGCAGATAACTTTTTTCACTGTGATAAACTTGTTTCACTGTGATAAATGTGGTAAGTTTCTGCACAAACTTCTTTATGCTAATATTCCATTGCATGTTGTGCAACAAAGATTTTATTTGCACCCCTGGTGCCCTTGTTGCCATCCAACAGGGTGTTGGTACAACAATGTCATGAAGGATTCCCATTGCTGTGTCAAAAGAGCAATGCATCCCAACTGCCCTGTCTGCTTCGAGGTGAGAAACCTTAATTTCAATGAAACATCACTATGAACTTTCCAGTTTCTTGATTTTGAGAAGATTTCCCTCTCTTGTTTTGCACTATATATACTACTGAGGATAAGGAGCATGAGAAGGCGGTCAAAGCTGAGGCGAGGGGCAATGAGCAAGAGGTGCCCGTGAAAAGGAATGACGATGTGGGTAACTTGGCTTTTATTACATGAGCCCCAATACTAACACATAAAATTATTGTGCTTGAAGCAGGATATGCAAGTGTAGTTTTAACTATGATCAAGCCACGTTTCTGTTTTTAGCATATGAGGTGACAACTGTATGAGCATTTTACGTGTTCGAATTTTTTTTTGTATGGGCATTTTTAAACAAGAAGCAGAGTAGCAGATTTGTTCTGTTCCTTAGGCTATGTACGGTGTTGTGTAGGAGGGAGCAAACAACAAAGTACATGAACTAAGGACTTGGCAATTTGACCTGCTATTTTTAGTCTTACTGAAGCTATAAGCTGTTGTTATATCTACAACACTAATGGGGTGGGAGACAGAAAGATGAATGATGTCTTTAACGATAAAGTAATGCATTTGATATAAAAAAATAGATAGAGAAAAGCAGCCTCTATATAGTAAGACCATCCCTTATTAATGATTCAGAGGATGATTGACAAATCTTCAATGAGAAACATAGGTCAACCTCGCCATGAGCCTTCACGTGTTGTCGCGACTGCACTGCTAATGCATCTCCGGCATGAGTTGAGGGAGGGCGCTGCTGTCTTGGGAGGCTAGATGATCGGGAGCTAAGGAGCAGATGGCCAGGTGGGGTTTATTAGGTACAGAGCAGATGCCATTGATCGTTGGAACATCATTGTGCTGTATTTTTTTTTGCAAATCAGCGGATGGTTCCTCCTGGCAAGTCATTGATGGCTTTGAATGGTGCTTTGATCAATATTGAGGATCTTGATCTTTGCCTGTATGTTCTACCTTACTTCCTGGATAGTGTTGTTTCTTATTTTTACTCTTTGTTTTACCTTTCCTTGGCTAAGAGCACCTTAGCTATTTGCTTCTTGCCCTGGGCATACCAAAATAGACTCAAGTCAGTGTACCCTTAGCTTGGTGGGTTGCCTTAATTTCCTATTGGTGGCATGGTTGATCGATCTCTCTGTGCGTGTGTGCGAGCCGGGGCCTACCTACGTGTGGTGTGCCCAGCTTTGCGCACCGTTTTCTGGGGCTTGTGGTGTTTGCAGAGTTTGGGTGATGTCGGTGTGAAGAAAACTGGTGAGCTGCCGATGCCTTTGTTTTTTTTGTCAGTAATAATATCACAAAGATGTTAGATCACGTTGCTGATCGCTCTTAGGTCCTATTTTTGTTAGGTATTTACTACTAATAATCCTGTAGTGATGCTGGTTTTGACGATCTTTTGAAAGTAGTGTTGACCTCTGAGATTGACCTCCTCACCCAAGATGTAGAGATTGTTTACTGAATTGATATCAGGCTAACCAAGTATATTCACATCTAAACTAGCTCACTGTTCACCTTTGAAATTGTTCAACTCTGATTTTTTTACTGTGGCTGTGTGCACGGGTGCAATGACTGCAGGCAGCAGCAACCACCTGCTTCACGCCTTTACTGTGGCAGAACCTCCTAAGAAATCGGGCCCACGTGCACCCATCGATGTCTCAACAGACCTCTGATAGCGTACATGAGTTCCCAACAACTTAACAGGTCTGTCGGGTGTCCTCGGGAAACCCGAATCATCCACGAACAAACAGGATCCCAATCACAGACATTGCAGATTACAACAGTTTTCAATATACATATCAGAGATTATAAAGCGGAAGACTTAAATTTTAATATTACAAACCAGTTGTTTCAAACTTACAAAACCATAAGTGTCATACAACCATAGTAGTGGGATAATATTACATTAACATTATTTATTTCACACAAACTAGTGCCTGGTCCAAAGGCCATTCATCATTCCTCATCGTCATCGACTTCAAACACTGACATGCAGCAGGGACCAAAACAAGCCTGCGCATGCGACTCACCTGCAACAAGGGTTAACAAACCTGAGTACAAAAGTACTCAACAAGACTGACCCAACGAAAAAGGGGGTGAAGGTCTTAGGGATGCAGGTGTTGGGTCAAGGTAAGGATGTAGCAAGATTCAAAAGTTCTTTGCCAAAAGCTTACTATTCTTGATCCTAATTTCAAGTTTTACCCCTAAATCTTCTTAATTCGTTATCTCAAACTAAGTGTTTATATCCCATGTTCCAATCCTTCTCATTCTATTCTTTTTCTCATGTTTTAGTAATTCACCAGTCCTACATTGCTTCTGTAATGAATCGAGTCTCCATATCCGTAGAGCACCGGCAATTCGAATTGATTCAAGTCCCAGCTAGGGATTCCTTATCACACGACATATGTAGAACTTAATCTTGCATATATCAACCTCACTACCGGATATTCCCATACTAAGCCGTCTCCACGCCACCCGAGAGCACAGCACACATCAAATCCGGCCACATTCTAGCCATGAGGGTACATGCTACTCCCGCCATCTCTCCACTCCCAGTGCGTGGGCATTCGTCTTAGTATCGGATTAGCCGAAGTAGGCTTACCGGAGTATGTGACCAGTACTACAAAGTGTCTCGTTCAGAAGATCCACAATGAGTGGCCTTTAAGCGATATAGTCGGCAACAATACCCAACATTCAAGATAAGTCACCCGACTAGTCTCTAGTTCATTCTATCTTCTTTCTTTCTTTGGCCAGTATGCCATCTTTGATTGTATCGAAACTTTTACTTTGAAAGCCTACCATAAAGCATACTAAGCAATTCTACGCCTTTGTAAATTAAATCATCTTCAAGGATGGTAAACAATTAACAAGGTAGGCAATGCATCAAGTAGGTAACATTTGAATTAATCAACTTAATGCAATAAGTAACATAGGTGATAAACTTTTCAAAGTAAACAAGGTAATGGTTTAATGCATAAACCGGGCTTGCCTTCGTTGACGATCTCGGGTTCCGGATCAGTACCACAAATATCGAATCCTGAGACAACCGGGGATTCCTCCACAACTTGCTCAACTAGGATCGGTTCACTCTCGGATTCTACACGAAATAATAGCATATGCTTCAACATGATGATAATGTCAACATGATGCTTTCATGGTGCATGAAATGTAATAACACCTTGAATACAATTTTCCTTCACGATACAGTTGTAAATCAAAACCAATTGACACTAACATCTAGGGTTTATGACCTAAGTGACTTGACCAAATTGATCTTGAAACCCTACTGGTCACAAAACATGACCCAAACAAGATCAAACTCTAAACCAACACTTAGGGTTTGCTTTTATCCAATTTTTAATTAATTTGGAATTAAGCTTAAAAATGAACTTGTTCCAAATGACCTCAAAATTTTATGTAAGCTTCCTTATGACAAATTAGTGTACCAAAATAAATTTCATAATTTTTGGAGTTATACAGTGGCCTACAAAAATGATGGAAATTGCATTTATCAATTAATTAACTGAATTTTTGAACATTAAAAATTTATTCAAATTTCAATTTTCATATTTTTAAACCATAATAGAACATGTACAGAAGCTACATACAAATTTTCAGAATTTTTGAAGCTGTAATTATTTTCCTATGATTTTCCAAAGTTGCTGCACTATTCAAAATCTAGAAAATACCAAAGCCTCACTGTTCTCTCTCTCTCTCTCACTGACAGCCAGGCCCCGCCCGTCAGTGACACAGACGCAGGACACGGCGGCGCTGTCGACTCCGGTCTACCAAAACGCGCCGGCGGTGAGGCTCCGGCGAGGCGGACTGCACTAGAACAATCTACAATACCCCGCGAACCTACCCCTACACCTAGAATAGCCGCAGGCGCACCGGAGGGAGCTCCACGCCGGCCATGGCGGCGCGGGCACGACGGTGCACGACGTAACTACGGCTACGATGCAGTAGAGGCTAAAGCGGAGCGAGCATCACACTCAGGAGCTCACCACGAACACGACGGTGTGCTTGGTGAAGGCGGAGACGGGCTGGAACGACGTGGCCACGTTGAGGTCGGTGGTGGCGGTGCTTCGGCCGGCTCCGAAGAAGAAGACGCCGTGGGTAGGCGCTGGACTGCTAGAGGCGAGGCGAGCAGGCCTGGAAGGAGCGGCAGGGTGAGGCGGAGCTGCTGGCAAACG